CCCCTGGCACAATGCGTAACTCCGCCCATACAATCAACGCGGACTGCGCCTTTAACGTAGTTCAATGGAACTCTCATTTCCACCACACAAAAAAGACATCAAAAAAGATGCGTAGAAAGTTTAAGGTGAGCGGACGACTTTAATGAAGTACAGTTCTACTAGCAGTCCATAAACGCACCCTCCAACTCTCCCAGACTTCTAGTGCAGAAGACACTGAATCAATGGTTTAAAGGTGCACTCCACGCTGATCGTACGGATGGAGCCAGGCAGAACCTTGAGTCTTCCTCGATAAACGCCCACTTTTCATCACATGATGATCAATATTAGGCGCGCGCCAATGAGAAAGGCTTAATGATGGTTCCTGCTCCGCCCATACGACCATACGTGGAGTATGTCTTTCACTAAGCCCTGGATTAGTGCAATTCGTTTTCCCTTAGTCCTTCAACTGAGTGCTCAAATGGCTTAGGACTGAAAGAACCTCCGTGAAAACCAAGTTGACGTACATGACTTGCGATTGAACTGCCGTGCTTTCCGTCGATGATCCCGGGTTTCGGACTGCAACGTGGCTGCTTTGACAAGTCCATTTAGAATCTCGTCTTCGGGAGAGTCATTGGCCGGATCAATAGGATCTGGAAATCAGTCAAAATTTCTCAGAAAGTGAATTTTTCGATATACACGATCCATTTTCAGCTAAAAAAGTTTCCAAAAACTCTCATATCCGAATATCCTGGGAACTTCACAACACTCACGTAAGCACAACACACACACACACACACGCACACACACACACACGCACGCACGCACGCACGCACGCACGCACGCACGCACGCACGCACGCACGCACGCACGCACGCACGCACGCACGCACGCGTAGCTGATCGCTTCTCAGCGCAAGAAACGTCGCGATTCTGTGTGTAGACTGAGAAAATCGATTAGACGCACGCGCGCAAACCGAAGAATTTTTCAAATACACGCGCCGGTAGACGAATCTGTGTTGTGTAAGTAGGCTTGCACATCCAAAATGCGACCACACGAACTGAGAACTTTTTCTTGATCTTTTCTTTCTCCTTCTTTTTCTTCTCCTTTTTTTAGAGAACAATACAGACCTTTGTTAGCATTTGCATCGTTGGACGGCTTGGCACGCCTTCTCAAGGTTCCGTCAGCACCTGCGTCGTTCAACATCCGAGACAATTCCTCATGTCGCTGAAATCATCTCCGTTTGGATTTTTAAATTTTCATTAGAACGGAGGGCAACTCCTACAGACTAGTTCTTGCCTGAGTTGGGAGATTTCGCTGAATGCCAGAGACAGACGTAGAACTTTGCTTCGGATACTGTGGTGTTTCATCGGCAGGGGGAAGGGCTGGGTCTAGCGCGGCGCCAGGCCGTTTTCCACCAATTGCTGTCGCCCGTCCACTTCCTCAGTTGGTAGAAAATGGACTGGCGCCGCCTCGGAACGCTTCAGCATCCGCAGCGAATAAGATTGTATGTAACCCGAATGGGACAAGTAAAAGGAACTAGCAAACCGAATATATCTTTCCACCCCACCCCCTCCCCCAAGCCGAGCAGAGGCTCCACACACCCAGTTCTTAGTGTAGGTTGAAAAAACGAGTACAAAATTGCACGATAGCTGATACCTGCAGAGAATTGGGTCCATTTTGTGAGGTTCTTCGTCGTCGGTTCGGGTCACCACCGTCAGCAGTGCCTTCGAGAGCCCATATCTTGCCTCTGAATGGTCAGAATCTTGTGAAAGCTGCCTCCGTGGGAAAACGGTCAATCAATCAATCTCACCTCGTTTTATTCCTTTCACGTTTCTCAGCCATACGTTTACGTTGTTGAAGGATTTTCTCACGTGTTGTACGGTATTCCAAAGCAAACTTCCGTCACCTAAATACGGACACGATAAGATTTTGTGCCCAGAAGTAAAAAAAATGTGGAAAGTGCAGCATACCATTTTGAAGACATCATTTGGATTCTGATCGGGAATCTCGTTCACTCCATAGCCAAAGTAGAGCAGAAATGCGTGCCACCTTAAAAATTGAGTTTCTGGTCAGCTGACAGTCATACAAGATTCTTTAATTTTATTTGGAGACAATATTACACTCAAGCCCTACTGATGCTTTGATTTCCATTACCCAAACCGCGAGACAGGGACCTTTGAGAAGCTTGACCGCCACAGACCTGCGTAGAAAAAATGGTCCGTGGTCAGACGGAGAAGATCATCCTGAGGCTGCGTTCATGCTTTGCGTCAGCGTCAACCAGCAACCAGCAGTGTCAGCGTTTCAAGCGTCCACCAGCGTCCACCAGCGTGTTGAGGGACTAGGGAAGTATAGGCATCGATATAACAAACGCGAGCGTCCACCAGCGACAACCAGCGTCCACTAGTGTCTAGAAGTAGAGAGTGTGGGGAAGTAGGAGGGTAGCAGATAGCTGAATTAGGGATACGAGACCGCACATCAAATTGCATAATTTTGTTTGTACGGTTCGCACATTGCACACGCCGCATATTTGGGACACTTGATACAGTTTCTGCTACCTTCTTACTTCCCCATACTCTCTACTCCTAGACGCCGGCAGACGCTGGCAAGCGCTGGAGGACGCTAAGGGAGGCTGGTAGACGCTAGTGTTCGCTAGATCAATACCTATACTTCTGTTATCCCTCGGGATTACAGAAGGACGCTGGTGCACGCTGGTAGCCGTTGGCGAACGCTCCAAACGCCGGTGAACGCTGCCGCAAAGTATGAACGCAGCTAATTTATTGGGCACTTACACCCAGCGGATTGTGCAACGATGGGCGCGGTGGTCACGGACGAGGCGCGAGCCACGCCCACCAGTCCGCTCACCGTGACCTTACCACCAGACGCCAACCAATGAACGAGTCAATGCCATCATCCTCTCAGATGAACAGGTACCAATGTAACGCTCCACCCCCTCGGTCAGCCAGAACATTAGAAGCCGATCCAGGGATTTGACCCCCGGACCGGGCGTAGGGAAAGCGTCCAATTGTCACCACACCATTCCGAGGAGGTTCGGGGGTAGTACGAGGATGAGTGATACGGGATAGTACTGGAGAATACTTTTAATCCTTCGTGTTCTTATGTGGTGGCATATTTGAAGGAAGCTGAATTAAACCAGCTGCGAAGTAATGGGCCATAGTCTACCTGTTGATAGTGACGTTGTGAATGGTATTGAGTTGATGAATCCGTTGTGCGACATCTGTCAAGTAGTCGTTGATCTTCTGGCGCATTGACGAGTTGTCATTTTTCGAGATCTAAACCTTCACTATTGAGTGGAGTTAGATTTACTCAAAAGAGTGTGGCGAGTGTCCCCAAGAGGTCCCAGAAAACTGGTCGTGAAGCAAAAAATAATTACCTTTGCCAAGTAGTCCCAGCTTGCCTTGCATTCCTTCTCAAGTCGCTTCAGATTATCGAACAATTCCTTGTAATCGACCTGGAATTCGACATTTTTGAACACTGCACAAAAGCGGACTTAAAGGCACATTCCACGCTGGTTTTGCAGGCGGAGCCGGGTTTACCATCAAGAGGCTTTCCTACAATGTGCTCCACCATTATCACAAAAAAGATAGCCGCCAAAGACTGAGGCTCAACGGTAGGCCGAGTAGGCTATCCGCCCATAAGAATGGATGTTGGACTTCTGCCTTCTCTTTTCGCAGTATTTCTCCGTTTGTAACACGTGTGCTATCCTGCACTGTCTGTTTGAGGTCTCACTAACTCATTAATCTTAATACTTCACTAGGAATCCTATTTTGGTCTGCCGCACGGGAGGATAGTTCAGTCAAGACGTGGTGGTGATCACAAGCTCAGAGCAGCGACAATGGCAGCCGTCCTCGCCGCTGGGGGGGGGGGGTGTCTGAAATGACGGTACCCCCTCCCATACGAATTTCCCCCGATGTAGAACAGCGCGGTTTGACAGCCACGGCGCAAAGATCAATCAATCCGAACTTGGCAAATAATAACGCAACATAAGCTCTTACTTTGTGGTTATCGAAATAAAAAGCTCGGCCTCAAGTTCGACTTAAAGCACATTTCACATCATCAACATTGTGGCGAATGCACTGCGACAGTTTGTATTGAGACGCAAACCTCCTTTTTATTCAAAAGGTAGGGCACTTTAAAGGCAATGCTGCAGTGATAGTGACCACAATCCTAATCAATGGGGGAAGCGTCTCGACCCCTACAAGCCTTAACATTGAACCCTCAAAATTAATCAGATTTGCCCCTCGAAGATGACGATTCTTCTGATCCAAGCAAAACACGATTAGATTGTAAAAAAACAAAAATTCATTTTGTTCCGCATAAAATCGAAGAGGACTAACCCTGGCACTACGAGCCACGGCGCCGAACTCGGTGTAGAGATCCGTTCCTTCTGGGTAATGCTCAGCATGTACTCAGCCAGATGGTATGTCAACGTGTGCTTGTAGACCGGATCCTTCACCTCTGACGCTTTAGCCAAATAATCCAGTTGGAAGCCTTTGATCTATAAAGTGTGATAATTACTTGCTTGAAACATTCTGGGCACTATTCGGCTTGGGAGGGGCATGTTACACTTTCGCTTGTCATTTGACTGGAGTAACAGATCCCATTTTGGAGAGACCTGTAAACCAGTGTGGAGCTACGAAATGGTAAAAGTGAGCCGAATTCGATCACAAGATTCGCAGTTCTTCACGAGTTGGCTTGAACAGGGGTTTCGCTTAGTACTTTTTGGTGCCACCACCAAACCGTACTGTTCCCCGTCTTGAGCTCTAAAGCACGTATCCATGAAATATTAATTTTTGGCATGTGTATAAAAAGCGGCACTCTTGTGAAGAAAGTTGACGTCGTGTATGCTCGCCTGCACCTCAATGTTCCCCGCCAAACCTTATGAAAGACTATCTCGATGGGAGGGCGCAGGGGAGAAGAAAACGGGCGTGGCACAAGCACACTAGCACCCTCAAGATTCGGTGGGGACTCTAGTACATTCCACGCACGAACGGAGACTTTACTGGCGTCCACCCGAGCGTCTTTGTCAGGGCTTAGGGGATCTTTCGCAAAGCGATTTCGGCATCCCCAGGGGAAGGCCCGCCCCAGATTGCCACGCCTTTCTTTCCTGCGAACATAATGAAATTGTAGTCCTTCGCGAAGCGATTTTAGCTTTCTACGTGAAGCGCCATCAGCACTAACCCTGCACACAGTAGACCCGGAAGCCACGCCCCAGATTGCCACGCCCTCTTTTCACGCGACGAACATCTCATATGACAGATGAATGAAAATCAATAAAATAATCATTGAAATCAAAAGGGTGTCTAGTTGGTCGCACCTCAGTGCCACTAAGAGAGTTGCCGATAGCAAGAAAGATGCTCATCGCTTTCCGGAATGTCTTCGATTCTTCCATCTCTTTCATTGCCAATTGTAAATCCATCAAAGGCTCAGCAATATCCTTAAATACTCATGAATAAGTAAATGTGGTGGTGATAACAGTGATATCATCAGCACCGATTACGGTAGAAAAGCTACTTAACTGGA